GCGCTCCCGCGCACTCACCCGCGCTCCCGCACGCGCGCGCGCGCACTTAGGCGCTCCCGCATGCACACGCGCACTCCCGCGCTCCCGCACGCACACGCGCGGTGCCATTTGCCCTCAGCCTCGCGCGTCTCGGTGCCCGCGGCCGCCCGCCCTGGCGTTCCGCCTTCGCAGCCGCCAGTGCCGGGGAGCTTCTGCCGAGAGTTAGGCTCCCCGGACGCTGGCGTCGAGTGGGAGGCGCTCCCCAAGTCGGCGCTGTTCGTGGAGCGCGGCGGGGACTGTGAGCGCGGCGAGCCGCCGGCAGCGGCCAGGCGCGACGCGGAGTGCGGGTGCGTGTGACTCCCCGGGTAAAGCAGTGAGCCGGTGAACGCCGGGGGAAAGGATCCCAGCCTGGGGAGAAAACAAGCGGAGATCGGTTTCGCTATGGTCTGGCTGTGTTGGCTTTTAAAATTCTTCCTTTGACCATTACAGTAAGCTGATAACCTGTTTGGATACCTAGGAGAGGAAGGAAGCGATGGATGCTTTTTTGCCAAAGTGCCTTGCTAGTTTGAAGTTTAACTTGGTGTCTTGATTTATTTCGATTCCTTAAACTTTCTGTGCAGCTTGGGGACCATTTTTTTAAAAGGTTAAAATGGTTACAATTTGTTGCGCATATTTTTAAAGAAAAATGTTACATTGACTTAAATGAATTTGTTATCACTAATTTAAAGAGAACGTTAAAGTGGTAGTTGAAAAGATAATGGATAGTAGACAAAATAATTAATGTAGAAAAAGTAAAGTAACATTTTTCCTAAAGATTACTGATTGTAATTAAGGTGTATATGGATTTAAACAATTTTATTATTATATCACTTCAGTTTATTGTTCAGGAGCTGTTGGGATACTTATGGTCAGTGTCATTTTAGCAAACTGAAAAGCTTCTATTAAATTTTATATTTGAGTTTTCCCTCTTAAAAGCCTCTGACAGTAGAGGCTAAATATATACACAGATGAGTTGAGCTGTTAAGTGGTTCTTATGTAAATGTGACATCAGTAGAGCGGGCAGAAGTTAACATTATAATATAATTTTTAGAGTTCTTATCACTAAGCATACCAAAAAGAGCAACAGCCTTAATTAAGCCATAGATGTGCATCTTCTTTAAAACCTCAAGCAAAAGTGTAATGTAAACTGCTGAGTAGCTCTGAGCAAAGGTAATGAACCTAAGAGTCAGGTTCATAAATAGTAACAAACCACAAACAGTAGACACACGTCAGAGAACGCTCCTGCTCTATGTTAGGGGAGTAAAGAACATCAGCTGCGCTTCTGTAGGTCTTCAGTCATTTTCTGTAGCTTTCTTCAATATGTATCATAAGAATATAAGATAAAACTATTGTGATTAACTATAAAAGTGATTTATGCTTACAATTTTTCTTTACAATTATATATAGAGTGAGCACACTGAGTGTAAGAAAGAGAATGAGTTTAGATTTATTCCACCTAAATTAGATTAGTTAAACTTAAGGAATTCATAATAGTGACACATTTATTAAATCATTCACTGACCTTAGTAAGGTACATAGAAGGGACGTGAAACACAGAGACTATGCCCCCCGTTTTTACATAAATGTTTCAGTCCCTAACATTGAACCTGACTATTGAGTAGCCGCTGGATAGTTGAACGTAAAGAAGTATTAAGTAAATATTATTTAATGTGGTTTCTTGTCCTTCATACTGTGTCTTGTAGTTAATTTGCAGTAGTTGATTGCTGGAAGTAATCATTGTTTGCATTCAACAAATACCATTTTTGATCTTGGCATTTTCTAGTTAGAATATAATCCATTAGTTAATGAAGAATAGTCTATATATATAAAGTATGTTCTAGTGATTTACAAATTATTCAAAAATAGATAAAAATAAACTAATTGCAGAAAAATTAGAAATATTAGTTTGAGATGGATAAGAGATTAGTCGAATTAGTCAAATTGCTAAATGTTTAAAAGATTTGAGTTAAAGTTAAATTCTGTATATTTGAATTCAAATATATTGAATTCCAGTGTTTACCTTCTCAGCAATGCCTTAAACGTTTCACAGAAATTAAAGGAAAACTTTAAAAGTAATATAAAATTTGGGGTTTTATTGTATATTTCAGAATTTTTAAATGTTTTATCTGGTGTTTCAGAGTTGAATTTATTGCAATAAAAATTTGTCTTACAATATATTCAGACATCCTTTCTTAAATAATATTGTTATTTGGTTAAAAACACAAAAGTGAAAAGCTGGCACTTATTACCATGCAATTTCTCTCAAGAATACCAAATTTGTGTCTATATATATATGTATTATAAAGTTCTTTCTCAAATTTGTGTCTATATATATATTATATATAAAGTTTATACACACATATGAAGGTATGCTTTTGTATATATATTTAAGTAGGTATGTTTGCGCAGGAAGTTAATTTGAGGTTAAATGATTTTGACATGCACCTGTACTTGAAAGAACATTGACTAGATATATCTAGTGTGAGCAGGAATTTTCCACCCGGGGCAGAAATGTGAACTTTGCATCTTCTGAGCTACAGAAATGACATTCTGATCAGGCACGTCTACAAAGAATAGCTGTTAAAGATTAAAGGCTTAAAAGCAGGCTGGCAAATTCTATCATCCTTTTTGATTTAGAGTCTCATAATCCAGGCTGGCCTTGACCTCCATGTAACCAGGGTGGAGGCAAACTCACAGTCCACCTGTGTGAGCCCCCCAAGTGCTGGGATTATAAGTGTGTACCACCACACCTGGCTATCAGCCTAGTTTTTAATCACTGTATTTTCCTTAAGCCAAATGCTTTGTATGGGCTTTATATGTGTGATGACTAATCTTTGATCAAAGTACCTCTGGAAATATTCACAGGATATTACTTCTTTGTCTTCTTGTTCTCAGCAAGATCTAAAACTTACATATCTATACTCTGTTTTTAAACTTTTTGTAAGTTATTGTTTATGAGTAGTTTTGTTTATTAATGAATACTGCTCCTACCTGTCAACTGTCAACTGACAGGTAGTTTAATAGTTAATGTTTTTCATGTAAAAACTGTGCACTGACTGTTTTCTTGATTTGGACCGTTCTCACGTCAGGAAGTAAAACAAAACCACCTATCAGGTAAGTTTTCCTAAACAGTTGTCAAGGTTACTTACATATTTATTTCAGAAATATATTCTGATATAGAACCTTCACCAGATGTTATACTCTGGTTCTGATTAGTATTCTGCCACATACATTACACATTTTCATTATTTAATAAGGACAGTTTGGGAATATTCAGTGAGAATTTAATTTTTTGATTTTCAGGATCCAACTTTGTATGTATATGCTATTGTATTTTAAAATAGCATATAGCATATATACTATATGTATTTAAAGGCTATATGTATTTCTAGAATCAAAACTTGGATTATAAGATGTATTTTTTAAGGAGAAGTCTACCTCACTGAAACTAGGGAATGTTTATATAATCAAGTGAGCTATAACAGTCTTCTGTCTAAGCTTTTACCACTATAAGTATAGTGGAAAGGAGGAATTTTCCTTAATGAAGGGAGGTGTTGTGTCAGTGTAATAAAGAATCAAATTCTTTATTTCTGTAATAAAGAATAAAATAATGCTTTTTACTTAGAAGTACAAATATATACTTTTATACAGACCAACGAATAACTTGGATAAAATGTGTTGTGTATATATTTTTCTTGAGGGAGTTTTAAAAACACAACCTAATCCTCAGTACCAAAGAAGAAAAGAAAAAAAAGAAGAACTTATTCTGAGAAGAAACATTACCAACTCTTTTTGTTTTTGTTTCTGTTTTTTGGAGATAGGGTCTGTGTATTTCAAGCTAGTTTTGAACTCATTATGTAACTCAAGCTGGCCTCAAACTTACTGAGATCCACCTGTCTCAGCCTCCCAAGTGCTGGGATTACAAGCATGCACCACTACGCCTGTTTTACCAACTCTTAAAAAAAACAAAAACAAAACCAAAAAAAAAAACAGCAACAGCAACTTCTTGTCTTTTTGAGATGGCATCTCGCTGTGCAGTTCAGGCTGGCCTTGAGCTCACTTTGTAGCCCAGGCTGGTCTCCTTGCAGCGATCCTCCTGCCTCAGCCTCCTGAATGCTGCCAACAACTTTTGTACTGAAATCATTACCAGAAATCTCAGAATCTATCTAAAGGTTGAGATATAAACACTTTCATGTATGAAGGCAGAAGGCAACGATTTCTTTTTCCTATCCTATGATAGACTTTGGATGTAAATAACATGTAGGAGATGTACATTTGGTACCAGATTACATTCAGTTTCATAGTAGTTTTTGCTAGCAATCCTAAAAGAGACAAAATGCTTCTCCTAAGAATGAATAAAACTAAATTTTTCCTGACTTAAGCAAAAATGTATTCTCATGAACCATCTGAAACCTAAAGGAAGTTTCATAAAGGAAATAATGCAACCCATTGTTTTGATGTATTTTATTAACATTTTCCATATAAGAAATTGGGAACAAACTTTGTGGCTCTTTGTTTTCCCTGATATATTCCATAAATGTTTTCCTAGTCTTTAGATACTCCTTAAAACATGACTTTAGAATCTGAAACTGTTGTAGAGGTACAGACT